TGTTGTGTCATCATAAAATCCACAAATCCCCCTAAGACAAAGACAGTCCACTGGCTCTGCAGCAAGCTATGAGTTTGCCAACAGACTGTTATTTTGCTGCTATAATTTTGGCTAAAGGGTCTTGTACAGCCTCACTTGTCCAAACCTCCTACACTGTATTTCCTACTAATAATATTTTTAGGATATTGACATCCTAAAATTAGTACTCTAACATCAGAGGTTTTTATCAAGTAGGATTACTCTGCTAGTTCAATGATCAATGCCAAAATCTTCAAGTATTGTAAGTGTATCTTGCACCTTTGGCACATCTCTCCTAAAAAAAGGCTGAAATCCAAATAAACAGAAATATGAAGCTACAATTCTTAAACTGGAGAAAATCAGAAGAGGAAAAAAGGAAGGGGAAAAAAAAGAGAAAATAGAGTTTAGAATTTATCTAAAAGCTTCCAACACAATTTCAAACTCCAGACCCTGTCACTAAACATGGAGACCAAGGGAAACAGAAGACATTTACTTGAATGTTGTTCAAGATCATGGCACAGCCTAAGAAAAACATCCTAAAAAAACCCATTCTGTAAAATCCTCATTCTGCAGTAAGAGTCACCAATCTTCTTGACTCTGTGATTACATACCAAAATCTGCACACAGGACATATAAATGGGATCTGTATCACATGTTCTGGAGAGCTAAAGGCAAAGGTAGTAGGACAGTTCACAGACAGCAAAGGACAGCAGCTTCCAAGCCAGTCTGCTGCTGCCGGTCTCCCCCAGATGAAGCAGTATTTTGGCTCTCAGCATTCCTCCTGCTAGCACAGCCCTGGTAATACAGGACTGAGGATGGGAGCCACACTCCAGCTTTCCAGAGGTGGCACAACACTCCACCCCCAACAGTATGGTGAACCACACTGCTCCTCCAGAGTCAGTCAGACAGTGTAGGACCTTCAGGCTCAACCTGGCAGCATTTCTCTACACACAGCAACTCTAAAGAAAACTCCCCAGGTACCTTTTACAACCCCTCCTGTCTCCAAGTGACTTAACCTCACATTTAGTAAACCCAACACATTTGACCAGTTACTGCAAAGTCATTAGTACTTTTTAATTAGTCATGTGACTCATGCACTTCATGGAAAACAGAATCTATTTATGAGTTTTTATGGGTTTTGGGGATATCATCATTTGTCTGTGGCCTCATAACTTCTTCAATGGCAAAAACAATTTAAAGCCAGAAGCAAAACCAGAAGAAACCAAGATTTTATAGAACCCAAAGCTTCTCTTTAGAATCAACACCCATTCCATACCTGTCCCAGGTTTTTTAAGTCTGATCACAGCATTACTTCAACTTAATTGTCTGTTATTTTAGGAACAGAACTGAATATCTGAGCAGGTATAGGACTAGGGGGAAAGGGGCAAAGCTGGAAGTGGGCAGATTCAGGCTGGATGTGAGGAAGAAGTTCTTCGCCATGAGAGTGGTAAGACCCTGTGATGGGATGCCCAGGGAGGTGGTTGAGGCCCCATCCCTGGGGGTCTTTAAGGCCAGGCTGGAGGAGGCTCTGGGCAGCCTGATCTAGTGGGAGGTGTCCCTGCTCATGGCAGAGGGGTTGGAACTGGGTGATCCTTGTGGTCCCTTCCAACCCTGACAGATTCTGATCTGTTTTGGCAGAGGACTTTGGAGCCCTGGTGGCTCGGTGGTTGGACTTGATGGTCTTGGAGGTCCCTTCCAACCTAAATGATTCTATGATTCTATGACCTCTTGTAGTCCACCTTTCAAATCCATTTTACAAATTTACTTGGATAGTGTTACAAAGCTAAACATAGAAATACAGTACAGAAGCTAAATACAGAAATAAAGTACAGAATAATCCATGTCATTAACTCTCTCATGAAAATACAAACAAACCAAACAGAAAAAATACACCTTTCTACATACTCATTTCTACAGAGGATCACAAATGTTAGATTTCATACCTAAAAGCACCTTCCACACCAGTATACGATACATGGATGGGAGAGGAAACCTTTGACTAAACGTGCAAAGCTTCTCAATATCTGTAGAGAAATAAAGATTAAAAAAATATAAGGTAAATTTAAAAATAAACAGGTTTGAGTCTCTGACCTAAGGATGACAAATCCTTAGGTGGAAATCCCCACTTTCATCATGCATTATCAACAAATGTTGTCACCACTTCAATTAAGAATAGAACATGCCCTATAAATTGCAACTATTTTGAAAAAATATATACATTGGCTTGATTTACAATACAACTGCCCTAGTTTTTTAACAGGAAGAAACTATTTTTCTAGACATTTTGTAAATCATGTCTCTATGTCAAAACAATTAAGGGCTTTGTTAAAGGGACAACATTTATCCTTCTGTTAGAGACGTGACACTCTTCAGAGACCAACAGCCATAACAAAATCTTCATTGTTTAGAGGTTAGATAGAATTAACAGCATGAGATTGTATATTTTCATATTAAAACTGCTTTCATTACAAAAAAAAAAAACAACTGTGCCTTGGGCATAGAGAATGAGAAGAAAAAAAAACAAGCAGACAAATCTTTGTTACTTTTAAAAATCAGATTTTCAGATCTTTGAAACTCAACTGCTAGTAGGAACGGAGAGATTAGTAGCAAAAGATGCACTACAAATGAGTACTTAAGCACAGCATTTTCTGTTACTCCCTCCCCAGCCCCAAAGCACCCAAGTAATGAGGAGTGAAACCAACTTGCCTAGGCGGTCATCTTTCAAGAGGATCTCCAGTGACTTCTTCTCCTCCACTCCTCTGAACCCCACCTTTTCATAGTACACCGAGCGGAAGTTCCTCTGCGAGTCGTCAGCCATGGCTGATCCCCTAGGGAGAGGCAGCAATTCCCCCAGAGACTCACAAGAACTTTTCTGGAGTGCTAAGATCAAGTCCTACTGCACGCTGCTCATGTCTCTATAGCATTAATAAACCCCGCAATATATGAAAACCTTCCAAAATTTTTTTCATCATACTCCACCATAAACAATCATAAAAATAACTGCATCTCAACAAGGCCTAAATATATCCAAATTCCAAATGAAACAGAGGGATTTGATTTTTTTTATTATTATTACTGTAGTAAATCATACTACTTTTCAAAAAGCTTTCAAAAAATGCTGGAGATTCACTCAAGCCTTTTAAGTGATATGGCATGTTTCAAAACCAATATAAAAAAATACAGTTAGAAGCCTGACAAAATGCTGGCTACAGAAACTCTAGATAAGGACAAGTGCTACCCAGGTAAGTCAAATCATCAGGTTTCATACTCACCAGACAAGGTAACCAGAAGGAAGGGCAAGCCAGTGTTGGCCTCAGCAGCAGAGGGGTGACAGGGAAGAATAAGGAGAAGTCTGCAGGCTTGTTCTTAAGTTGCAGATTTGAATTAAATGTTCACATTATCAGGTGCTGCAGCAGCCACAGGCTTGAGCTTGTTATTCCAGTACTAAAAAGAAATATATGTCTCATCCCTATACTGGAAACAATGGTAAATGCTAGTGAGTACTCTGTATTTCAAAACAAACACTATTTCAAAACAAACAAAACAGACATTTAATTTCCATCCAACCTTCTAAATGTCAGTTCTCTCTCCTCTGATGGCTTGCAAACATGAGGAAGTTCTGGTTTGTAACTCAAAAGGACTAAAAACAATCTCAACTTTTATGCCCAGTGGTAGCAACAAAATTGGGAGAAAAATAACTTGGTTTGAGTGAGGAGCAATGAGTGAAGGATGCAGAGCTTTTCTAGTTAAACTCCTCTTTTCCTTGCCTAAACAAAGAACAGGCAAGGAGCAAAGCATCTGCAGACATAAACAAAGGCCACATTTCTGCAAAGAATGCACATATTTAAATCTGGCTCTCCACTAGGCCTATCTGTGTTTCAAATTAAGTCCATTTTTAGTGTTTCGCAGGATCAGGGCCAAGATCAGACTGAAAAATATAAACTAGCAAAGGACTGAATTCATGCTTTCTGAGATAGGTCAAACACTAGCTCAAGACCAGAGGAAAAAATATTTATACTACTTGCAAGACATTTCAGTCATGCATTGTCCTTATGAAAATGACTGTGCTGTTCACATATCGTGCATTTACAGGTCCAAGGATCAGAGTGTTCACTACTTACACCACAGCCATGTCTAAAAGCAGACTTAGGATGCTACAGACAGCCAGCTATACTGAAAACTTTTCAAGTTTTTAAAATCTGAACTGAATATGTGCTATTTGGAGACTATTCAGCCTGTGCCACTTGTGGAAAGCTGGCAATAGAGTCACAGAACAGAATCAATAAATATTTAGGTAAAAAATAATAGCATGCTTTCTATAACGGGAGTACTATTTGAATAATTTTATACTATCATGATCCCAGCTGCAGATTTTATTTACTGAGGCGGGGAGGGAAGAGGAACACTGTTTCCCCCCCTCCCTCCAAATTCAGGATATGAATTTTAATTTTAGGTAAACAACCGATGTTCCAACCTT